CTGTGCCATCAAACTCCTAAACAGCTGAGGAGTTTATTACCAGGAAATATGTGACGTACTGTTTACATTCTCAGTGTACACATGCATAACTGCACAATTACTGACTGCTGCACATGCTGCTCCCATGCAGCATACATTCTCTATTGTATTCTTATATATTTTTATTATATTGCTGCATTTGCTGCTTAAAGTGTCTTAAATTATGTGTTACTTATTTATCTACTTTTTATTTCATTTGTATTTTGTGGCATTCATGTGGACAGCAAAGTAGGATTTTCATTCTATAGGGAAACACGTTTCATAACTGTGCATATGACAAACACTTTGACTTGACAAACCGAATAAGCTCTATATAAATGCAGGCTGAGGCCCACAGGTAATATGTGCTCAAGTGTAGCAGCATTGGTGTTTGACTAGATTGCTGTTAAACTCAGAGAGGGCCTACACCTGTTTGCCATCTTGTCTTTTGCTCAGGACTGCTAAGCCAACTACCTTCACCTTTGTTTCCATGTTTCAGTGAACCTGGGCCAACTCACTGGGCCGACTCACAATAAGTCAGCCTTTAGATTCTTTCCTCAGACACCTTATGACTGTGCAACAACAACGAGGTTACTGCAAGCCAAGATAGCCTTCAGTATGGGGCATGTCAAGACTGTGCAATCATGGTGTGGAGAATCATAGCGCTACGCTGTAAAACCTCTCAGAAATGGCACATATGTCGTCTTGCACCAGACAAGTGTATTGTTCATCATTTCATTATGTATTCTGATTGGTGTGTAGACAAGGGTTGTAGCAGTAGTCACACTCCTGGAGCTTCAAAGCACGTCAATGAATGTGCCTCACATTGCGATCAAGAAATAATAACTCAAAATGGTCACTGTATATCTTAGACATTCCAAACTTCAGTAATTCAGGGAGAAAACAGACATATTTGTAGTCCTGACTTTCCCAGAACATGTTTCCAGTGATAAAGAAACCCTGTGAAATTGTTTAAACTTTTGTTTACATTCAGTGCTTCTCAAAAGATTGCATTGTGTGTACCCTCTGGTTGCAACTAATGATTAATTTCATTTTTGTTTACTCAGACATTTATTTCCTAGATTAACTGTCTTATCAACAAAATGTAAGACAACAGGGACATTTTCTTATTTTACTTTCCCAGAGACAAAAGGTAGCATATACAAGATCCCTGTTTTGACTGACAGGTGTTAAGTTCCAAATAATATAGAAAAACACATTTGAATCATTTAAATTAGACAATGTTTGGCAGTTTTGCTTGAAAAATTACAGTTAATTATGAAAATAATCAATGATCAACTTTTTTTTGTTAATTGATAGGTGAACTAATTGTTTCAGTTCTAGTGTATCGCCTAACAAACCACGTAACAAGGCAATATGTCTAGAGGCTGTTTGAGGAAAGGTTTTTAGCACACGGCCCACTAACTAAAAATTTTCCACCTTTCAGCGGGTAGTTTTTTAGTGATCCGGCTCCATCTGCTGGTGAAGGCCACAAGAAGTTCTGAAAGCTCCTGAGTAATACCGGAAAATTGGCCAATCCAGAAATGATGAAGCTCCTATTTCCAAAGTCACTGATGAACTTTCAAACTCAATTTGCTCAAAGCTGTGTATCTGAATCGTAGCCCTAACGGTGTCAAGGAAACCTGCACTGTTTACAGTACATCAGACAGCATTCGTCTTCTTCAGTGCCTTTTGCTGGTGCATTTTGTTTGTTGGGATTTTACTCCTTTCACATGATTAGTGAAATAGTGCAAAACCATCAGCAGCAAGGTGTGTCACATTGCCGGCATGATTGTGCATGTATACGTGTACCCTTGTGTGCACACAGAGCATGAGATACAAACAAAATAAGAGCCTGAAAGTTAATATAGTGATGAACAGAATAACAGTATACACAGAAGAGAGACAGTAAGATGCAGCTGTATAGGAGGAAAAAAGAGAAGCAGGGAGGCAAAGTGGGAAGACAACCGCAGAAGGGGCTGGGAGGAGACCAGAGAGTGGCCTTGCTTCGCAATAAGAGGATTATGACGCAGCCTGATAATCCTCGCACAATTGAGCAGGACAACAGAGTGAGCAGACGTGTCATTCAGCCCTCCAAATCTCATCCTTAAAATGAGGCTAATTAGCAGCTAATCCTGACCACTGCCAAAATTACCACCATTTCTAAAGACAAAGTTTGAAAAGGATAATCTTAAAAAAAGGGATAGCAGAAGTAAATTAGTTTCTTCAGTTTTGGTCCGTCCTTTATGAGCCTACAGTCTTTCCCAGATGCTAGTGTCTTTGCTTAGCTACTGTAATACATTAAAGTGTGACCTACTTCAAACATTGTCTTGTCTTTTGATTTCCATTAACATGATCTGTGCAGTATTCTGCTGATCTGTTTCAGTGATAAATATAAATCTCACAAAATGTATTCCTCAGTACTCTGCTTTGTAGTTTTGTTTGGACTTTAATGGGAACTTTTTTATTCAGGTGGTTAACTCCTTGTAATCTTTTCTGTTTTAACTGTTACGTCATTTTCTGGCTCTATCAGGCCAAAGACTCTGAGAAAATCAATGTGTCGTCATTTAAATGACAATTAGCTGACGGTGGAGTTAGTTATTTTGAGAGATTTGCTTGAATGCACATCTTCCCCCGCCAAAGAGAGCTATGGATGGTTGACATATTTGCATACTTCTATCTTTCCCTGATTCAATTTCACAACCAGACTCTTTTTGCAAACCGATCCCAGTCTGAAAAACCAATTAAAAAACAAAAGGAGTTTTCTAGCCACCTGAAAGCTACTTTGAAATAAGAAAAACAGTTGAAGATAAATTTAATAGCTACATTTGACTTGCTAATAAGATGTCTTTATGTAACGTATCATCTTTATGGAGGATAATGATGGGCATTATTGGTTATGACACCGTCCCAATTTCAGGAAGATCTATAAAAGCTGTTCTTCAGGTCAGGATTTGGGTGGCTATGTGAGGAAAAAAAAATCATTCTTAGCAGAGCAGCATGCACTATAATTGTACATGAGACTGAATTATGGTGCAGCCAAGCATCTGGTGCATGAAAGGGTTAAAAGAAATATGAGAAACTTATTAAGGTGACTCAAAGGTAAAAAAAAGTGAGAGGGGCCACAAATTTAGCATTAAATATGAATATACAGCACATTAAAAACAGTGAAACCCAGTGAAATGAGAGATCGTGTGGGTTAAATAGTATATATATTATGAAAATGAATCAACCCAAAGCCATAATTAGGAAATAAGACAGATTTTCTCCCCAGAGTGATTCTCAGGCATCGAGAGAATGAATAAATTATTAGCATTTTTAAAAGTGATTTTTGTGCAAGTACAGAACCAAAACTAGGGATAGAATTAAATTAACCAGTGACCCACAACCTTCAGATTGTCACACAGCCAGCCCAAATGACCCCGGAAGAACAAAGAGAGCACAGCATACCCGACGAGGAGTCGGAGGATTTTAGAGCAAAAGACCAACCATCAGGGGTCATTGACGCACAGTGAGGTAAGCGTAGCTCCACGGGCTTCAAAAACTTGAGACCATGAGGTCCACACATCACCAGAGGGCTGAGCAGAGTCTCTCCTGTGAACACAACCACAGGACACCGTTATTCATAAATTCAGGATTATCATAACTATATACACTCACCAGCCACTTTATTAGGCACAACACTTCAGCCATAACATCTGTTTATGAAGCTCAAAGTTTCCTTATTCAATTATATGTTTATTATTGAGGTCATAATTAAAGGTGGTGTTGTACTGAACTACATTATATTTAGAGGTTTCTCTATATTTTTTGTCCTCCCCAGTTATGTGAGAGGGCCAGAATATTAGGAACACATCTGAATAAATTGTTTCTGAATAGTATCCAACAACAGTTCTGCAAAACAACCATCTCAGAAATTAAATTACCACAGGCGCAAACTGATTAGGATTACTTACACATTGTAGTATTTTACACCACCACCAAATAAATGTATTAATATTTAAACTAGCAATAACTCATTATTTTGGCCATTCAGGGCAGTGGAAACAAGTTCTGAACAAATCACTGACATATTCAATTTGAATTTCTATGATGAACTTGTTAGTAAACAGCTGTTACAGCTGTTTTACACATCCAGCAGTGACAGACTGACACTATCAACCATCTGGAGTTGATAATTCTCTGGAGGTTCATCACTACAACAACCCCTTTCACATTGTTTTTCCATTGCCAGTTGATACACTGTTACTGTAAAATATGAGTTATAGATCCTTTAAGTGAAAAATCATCTTATAATCAGAACCAGAAGGGACAATTGCACAATCTCCTCAAAGGAGCTTTTAAATAGGAACAAAACCATATTTCCTAGTTTCATAGAGCATCCAACAATTTAGTTAGGACTAAAGTACCCCTCCAGCTTCTTCATTCTTTGATAAATTACCTTTCTCCTTATCGAGCGGGGGCAGGATGCTGTTGTCTTGACAGACCTTGAAGTAGATCTCCTGCTCCACGCCCTCAGGGATGGCGCCCTGTGGGATAATTATGCTGACACCTGTCTCAATGGAACTCAGGACGCCACCGTTGCAGTTGAAGATACCTCGAGCTGTTGCAACAACTGTGTGGCCCTCATCTTCATCATCACCATCATCCAGGGTGGTGGGGCTGGGAGAGAGATAAAGTTACTGTCACGCTCATTCAACAGAATGGCTTCGATTTAATGTCTAGTCAGACTGAGTTTGTTACCTCACAGGGATGGCCTTGGGCACAGCGTTGATGTTGTTGTGCTGGTATTTGGAGCGGTGGTCCGCAGTGCGCGAGAAAGTGTCCAGACCACTATCTAGGTCTGTGCTATGGGGCTGCGCAGGTGTCTGAGGCTTTACTGGGCTGGAGCTCCGGACCTGCTCCAAACACCAGGGGGTCAAGTGTTATACACAGTTTTGTTACATTGTTATTTCAGGTCAGTCTGCTCTCAGATTTTGGTTTGTTTAATAATTGGTTACACACATTTCACTTGTCCAAAAGTAAACTAGAAGCTCTTGCATCCAAATTACAAAACAGGAAAAACTGATTAAATTAAGAACACTATACAGTGGTCCCTCATTAATCGCGTGAGTTACGTTCTAAAAATAAGCTGCAATAGGCGAAATCCAAAATAGCCAGCTTTATTTTTTACAATTATTATAGATGTTTTAAGGCTGTAAAACCCCTCACTACACACTTTATATACTCTCAGACGATGGTCTTGTTGCGGACAGTTACAACCCTTTTTGCATCCTTGTGGAAACTTATTGCTGCTGTCGTCCTTATGTTATTTTCCTCCTTCTTTATGTAACGAACTGAGGATTCATTTATTCCGTAATGGCGCCCTACAGCCACGTAACTTCTACCTTCCTTTAGCATGTCCAGAAGTCCAACTTTTTGTGCGATGGTTAGCATCTTCCTCTGCCTTTTGGGTGCTACCGCAGGCGCCTTTGACGGTGCAGAATGTTTCGTCGACATTGTGGGGTTTGTTGGGAAGAAAACTTGCAAACATACAGTACAGCACTTCAGAGTCACACTGCTAGCGATCGAAGATTTATGTAAATTTGGCAAGCTGAACGCATTCTGTACTGTACAGGAGACACGGCATGCAAAAAGCATGCAAAATTGCACAAAAAAAACAAAAAAAAAAAATTCCGCGAAACTGCGAGGCTGCGAAAGGTGAACCGCGTTATAGCGAGGGACCACTGTAATCCTCTGCATTTATGTAAATTTAGCCAGTACCACTATGTTTATAGAAGGCTATGGCTATTGCCTATGTTATTCTTTTAATGTTTATACACACACAGTGCACAGTGATACTGATAATTATTTGTGGTTTTCAAAACAAAACCTTAAATAAATAACTTTCATTTGTTTAAGTACGTTTTGAACATTTTCAACACATTTTAACAGTACTGTGATAATATTGATTACCGTGATAACTTTGGTCACTATAATTGTTAAATTTCAATACCGTTACATCTCTATCTGAGCACTATGTTCTGAATTAAGCCCAGATGGAGTTCAACAGTGTAGTCCCTATTGTTTATGTGGCCCTCTCTGTAGAGTGCTGTATTACAATGTGTGCTGCTTACCTTTGGAGCAGTCTCAGGGTTGTCATTGGGCAGAAGGTTGTGGCTGAATTTAGGTGTGTCAAACATGCGTGTAAAAGGCTTGGCAGAGGTGGTGTAGGGCTTGGGCACATAACAGTTATAGTTGGTTGCCGGTGGGGCCCCGACGCTAGTGACCGTTTTTGTTGGCTGTTCACTTGTGCCATTAACTGGAGACTTCTCAGGGAAACTCTTGTGAGGCAGGAAGTTGGTCTGGACGGTGTCCTCTCGGGCTGGAGGTTTGGCTGTGGACGAGTCAAGAAGGTCAGCTCAAGCGCTCTGCACTATGGGTCTCTGAACTGTACTGCGTGTTGTAACTTTATTATTTGTATGGAGATCCTGACTGACTTTTTTTTTTATTATTATTTTGGTAAAAAAAGATTTGTACCTTCAGCTGAACGTTTGGGCAGTGTTGCTGGTGGCAGAGACGGCGTCACTTGGGGAACTGGTTCATATTTTTTCTCTAATGGACTTGGTTTCTCCACTGACTCTGTCCTGTATCACAACAGCAAAACATTCAATTTGAGATTCACAGTGGAAATGGCCAAAAAATAAATATATAAACCATAAAGGATGGTAAAAGTAGATGAAAGAAACATTGGAAAAGACACAATAACAACCTAAAATCTATATATCGTAAGGAAAATGCCATAGATGTTTCATGAAAATGTATTCAGAACAATTAGGAAGGTGGTAGAGAGTGAGCATCACCTGGGGTAGCTGTGCATTGCTTGTGCTTGTTGCTGGGGTTTGCTGGGGCCAGTCTGAAGCCTGTCAAAGTACGATAGCTGTTTCTTGTAGTAGTCCTCGTCCTCATCAGGATCGTAATGGTTGGGGCGCACAATATCATCAGCTGCCTTAGACTGCGGCTTCTGAGGCTCAGGGGCTCTGGGTTGGTATGAAAAAACAGTCATCCAGTGTGGAGGTGATGAGAGAAGAGCAGGATAAGAAGAGTGGCCAAAATGAAGGTGTCAATTAGGTGAAATTAAAAGGAACCAACACAATTTTATTACAATACTGCTCTAAAATAATGGTGAGTGAAAACAGTAACTGGGACATACTCTAAATATAGGTTTACCTAAAGGTTTTCTCTTGATCCAGGTTGCTCAGAGAATTTGCTTTAGGGATTACTCCACCTTTCACAGGCAAATCAGCTGCCTATAGGAGCAAAAACAACAAATCTTATCAGTAGGATAAAAATTTTTGAAAGTTGACTTTATAGATGTTAATTTGTCACGAAGTTGAAAAGGAAATCTAAAGGTTAAGCATACTAGTAACCACTGTAACTACATAAGCATAAATTCTAAATATATACAAAGCCAAACAGCTTACCCTGTTTCCAGATGACTCATTGGTTTCTTTGGCTCGGTCCACGGACACAGAGCGTTTGTTCTCAAACATCTTGACCCTTGTCAGGACTGACTGGGGCCACATGGCGGGGTCGTCCTCTGGTTGCTTGTCCCTGGAAGGTGCAGGCTTTGGAGAGACTGCAGGGGAAGGGAAGGAGACCTCTGCTTTGGGAGGAGGTGTGGGGCTAGTTTCAGAGTTCACAGGAGTAGGGTCGTACTGCTGAGGTTTGTAGCCTTTTTGCTGCTGTGCTGGTCCCTGTTTATAGGCAGGCCGCTGGACAGCGGGGTCGGGGGAACGGGCAGCTGAGGGGTATTTGCTCAGGTGAAAATCTTGATCATAGTGCAGGTCAGGCCCTGGAACAGGGGAGGGACGATCATCATAACGAACAGGCCCTGGCGGTTTACCATAGCGAGGCCGTCCATCAAACCCCTGTTGAGGTGGGGGTTCGTCGTAGCGGAGAGGAGGGGTGTACTGGGATTCAGGGCTGTCACCATATGGCAAATTGGAATTATAACCCTGGGCGTTGGCAGTAGAGAGTGGCTGGCCGTAGGGGTTCCACTGCTGCTGGTCGTAGTGAGGCATGCTATTCTCGTAGGGCAGGTTAGAGTCATAGTTGCGGTACTTTGGTTCTACGTAACCACCTCCACTACTGACATCATACCGACTTGGTGGGTGGTCGTAATCTCTGTATGGCTGCTGGTCAGGGTGATATACCTGTTGAGGGTTGTAAGTCACAGGCTTCATGCTGTGACCCATTCTCCCTGTGTTGTCTGTACTGTATGGATCCTTCTGAAACATCTAATAAACAAATACACAACAAAGAATAAGATTAAGAAATGCCCAGGATACACATACAGCAAACACAAATAATGTAATATGAAAAAATCTGTTACATTATGAGAAAAGGAGAATATTAAAACAAGTCAGTGAAATTAAATGCAGAAGAGGAAACAAGAAGGGAAAGACCTGAAATAGAGAAACTGAGAGGGCGGGGTTACTTGTCAGACAATATATTAAACAGAAATGACCACATAGCCAAACAATCACAGCACCTTAAGAACAATGAACCACTGCAACTCCAAATTAAACACTGAAATTAAAAATACAACAAAACAGTGGGATCAATTTTTCTTGTCTTTACTGACAAACCATGAAAATGTACAGTTAAACTCTTCATAAAAAAAAAAAATCTTCCAATAATCTGACTGTTCATTTTGGTTTCTGCTACATTCACAAGGGAAAATGTCACCCACTGTCTTGGTGCAATTATCAAGTCAACTTAAACATCCACAAGGATAATGAAGATTACAAGCACATACCCATGGTACAAAGAGATTTAAAATCCTGATATTTAAGAAGTAACCATTAATTGTCCATCCAGGTCAGGTGATCTTTGTACCTCAGCAATGGCTACATTTTAAATGCAGGACATAACATGGATAAAATGGATGGAAAATCAATGGCTACTTTTACAAAGAAACAATCTATTTAACCTGCACTGATAAATACAGCACAAACAGTAGTTAACAGAACATGTTGCAGCCATGCAAAGAAGATAAGCAGCAGTGAGGGCCACAGGATTTCCACTGTTCTTCTACATGTAGGCATATTAGCACAGCCATCGCCTCAAAACCCACCGTTGTTTACCAGCATCTGTTCACACACACACACATCTCACACGCACAACACCCCCCCCCACAACCTCTGTCTCTTCTGGGCAGCACTGTGGTCAGCAGTCATGCAGAGCAGAAGGATAGAGACAGAGAGAAGCGTGGCAGCAGGAGGTAGGTATGTAGATAGGAAGCAGCAGCACAGGAGGTCAGACCAAGCTGAGCTGAGCTGGACCAGGTCACGGAACATCCACAGATGGTCAGAAGGATACCTTAGGTTCGGAACTGGCCACTCCAGACTGTAGAGGTTCTGGTGTGATGCTCTGAGGAGCTAGCTCAGGGGTGGGCCTCCTAAGTGAGCCAGTCTCTGGCTTGGGGCTGGGCTGTCTGTGGGGAGCTGCAGGAGCCTCGTCAGGGCTCAGACCCCCTACAGTTTTTACAGTAACGCCGACAGCAGGGGACATTGTCCCAGCCAGGGGCTCAGGCTGCAGGGGGATGCTAGGGATGGCAGCGGCCTCTGCTTTCTGTGAAGTGGTTCAGAAATGTTTAATAACATGTGCTGACACAGTACAGCGCAGTACTAACAAGTGCTACTATCTTCATAGCCGCTCTACAACAATCTGCTCCAATGGCATGTGAGAGGAATTATCAGTAGGACAAGATTTCATTGTTCGAGAATACTAATTTGTTTTTAATTCTACGGTTACAATACAGTAATTTCTTTTGCTTTTCACTTTTCATGCTCATTAACACATCATGAGTCGACAAATGCTTAGATCTGGTTATAACAACGGCCAATTGGGTAATGATAGATACACTTCACAGTTACACTAGGATTAACACTGGAATTTCCAACATGCACATAACACTTTCTGGTATCATATTGTCACAGTCCCAATGACACTTAAAACAAAAGGTAGGACGTGCATATAAGTGAGTGCTGGTACAAACACTTGACACATTACTTATCCTGGTGACATCAGCAAAAGTCACACCAGTAAGACAGCTTGTGGTAATACAGAGTAGAGGAGTAACAGTAAAACTTCACGTTCTTCTTCTTTCAAAAATAAAACACGTTCACAAACATCAGTCAACGAACACATAGAGGCAATTTCATGAAATATATAATAAATATCTAAATATATAATAACTGCCACTGATATCATTTTGTAACAGTAGATAGACAGAATAACTGTAAAAACAAAGAAGTGCCTTCAATAGCGCTTCCAGAAAACCTTCCTAACGCACACCACGGCCTCCATACAACAGGGGAGATGTGTAGCTCTCAGAAACGCTACCTGCTGTGGCGCTGGTGCCTTGAACCCAGCCGGATCGATGCGGTTCAGGGGGTCTGGCTGCACTGTGTTCGGGTAGCGAGCGTAGCCAGGGGGCTCCTGGATGACAGTGAGGTCCTCACGGACAGGCTCAGAGGATCGGGTGATGGCAGGCCCCGTGGGTGGACCCACATCGTCATTCAGTGTTTCATCCAGCTCCTGGTCAGTGTAGGCTCCACCCTCTGTGTCAGTGTCCTCATAGTCAGATGTGTGGCGACTGTCGGTGCTGTACATGGAATACTCACTGCCTGGCGCCGACAGGTAGGACAGGCGGTCATCATGGAGGTCCAGGTCATCATCAGCTACCCCATCAGCCTAAGAAAGAAAGAACAGTGTACAGTGTTGGGCGTTTATGTTTTGTGTGTGTGTGTGTGTGTGTGTGTGTGTGTGTGTGTGTGTGTGTGTGCACGCGCGTTTATTACCTTGCCCTCTGACACCCACACCAGCTGATTCTGCTGCTGCTGGATTAGCTCTTTCAGTGCCCCAAACCAACCATCATTCATGTTGTTCAAGTTAATGATTGCTGAATACACAAAGCAAGGGAAAAAGAAAATAAACATCCATCCAATAAAATTATAACTAATAATTATTCAATTAGCATTTAGGCATAGCCCCAGCATAATTAAATGTTCATTTTAGATACAGATTTTAATCCATAAATGCTCTGCACTTGCAAACATGATGCCAATCATATAAAAAGGACTCGAGTCCTTTTTAAGTTGCTCTGGAAATTTTCCACTTGGGATGTAGTTAAAATTTTCTATGCCGCTGAAGCATGAATAAAAGCAGCCATTTTGACACAGAAGTGCAGTGTTCTTGAGTACTGTATATGTTTTGTATGTAGTGTGTAAACCACTCATGGCATGCTGGGTGAAGATATTTTAAATGTGAAATTAAACTGCTCTTCTTCAGGTAATAATTTTAGAGTATCATTATGCTGCCTTATTTTGAAAATAAAATTACAGATGTGTGGAGGTACAGATATAGCTCACTGTGTAATGGGTGTTTGGCACCAAACACAACAAGCGCAGTGTAGCCACCATCCATCTCCCACACTGCAGCACTCAGTTGTCCACTGCCTGAGAAATATATCTGCTCCCTATCAAACATCCCGCTCTCTCTCCTCGTGGGTCACCCATTTATCCCTCTCTCCTGTGCGCTGGACTCACTGGTGAAGAGGTGGTGGTTGTTCTTCCTTAATTTGAGGGCTCGATCAAACAGTTTCCTGGCACTCTTCCTAGACTCAGGGCAGAGGCGGGTCCTCATGTTCTTCACACCCTGCTTGGTGTCTGGGTTGAGAAACACCACAATCGGATACCACTGAGCATAGTTCAGACGGTCCACCGCATTAGGGGTGATGTCCAGCACTGCATGCTTGTCCTTCATAAATAGAAAACAAAACATACATGTGTTTATTGACCATTTCACTTTGACTAACACCATAATACATTTGTTTCCACATATTGTGTGCAGCAGATCTTGAACCTTTGAGGCCAGCTCATCAATCTGGACTAGCCACTACAGTACAGCTGCCAGACTAAAATTCACTGCTTTGCTGAGGTGCAGGCACCTAACAGTGAAAGAGTGCAGTACACCAGAGGGCAGCAGTGAGCTTTGCATATTTCTGTGGCTTGCTGCCATCTTTTCATTACCATAACAAATCTGTCAAAGGATGTTTAGCACTAATTTTATATTGAAGTGTGTGTATATCTAGCTTCACTCACTCGGTCAATGATCTGTTTAATGGTGTGCAGGCGAATGATGCCGGAGCTTTTCTGGTCAGGTCCTGCATCCCTGGGCTCACTCTCTATGGAAAACAAACAGTTACTGCATCACCTCAACACAAGAAATAAACAACAATAAACACAGGTAGTAGCCATTTAATTAGGCATCCCTATTACGTGCAGTTGTCGACTCCCATAAATAGAGCTGTTAAATACAGAAAAATAATCTCAGTACAGGAGAGGACAAGCGTGTTTATAAAAGCAGCAACATACTCAGGTCAAAATGAGAACAGCAACAAATTCATGCAACAGACATTAGGTATTTTGGGCAGGTTTATGGAAATTAAATTCAGTGTATAATGAATGTGTGCGTGCAACTGCATGTAACAGTATTAATTAGGAAATGTGTTATGTGAGAAACACTGACATGAAATATGCACATACAAGAGCAGGAGGGTCATTTGAGATTAATAAGAATACAGCATCATTATAAGCCTCAGGGTCTTAAGCAAGGATGTGTAGGAGGGTTTATGATTCAAAAAAGATAAGCAATGGTTTCCTGCCTAGACACATGAGGTTCAACAGAGTCATCTCACCAGGACGTCCAATAAAATAACGGCTTAAAGTGGGACCAGACTTAACTTCTGACAATCCAAATAGGATTTATAATCTGCAAACACTGGTCAAAACTATTGAAAACATTGAGAATTCTATAAATAAAAGATAAATATAGCCATGCATGCAGAGGTACAAGCATATGCAGCAGTAAAACAGTATAAGTTGTGACTCAGTAGCGTCCCTGCTTTTCTGAAATTTGGATGATAATTTTTGATTTGGTACTTAGAGGCTTTATTCTTCCATCCCTGCATTATAAAATCTTTCTCACATACACTCACACAGCACTGACAGCTTTGTATAGAATCTGGCACCCAAGTTGTGATCACTGTCACAGTTGTAGTGTAGGCCCACTCTGAATTGTAATCTCAATTTTGAGCCATTAAATGAGTTACAAGGACATTTTATACCGTTTATGTTTTGGTCCTGCACATACTGTCAAGTCTTATGTGCATTAAAAGAAAATCCATCCAGCAAAGCACATTTTGGTTTGAGAAATTATACCCATGTATGAATTCAATGACTGTAAGCATCACATAGCGAACTGTACAATAAAGAGCCTCAAAGAGCCATGTTGATATGCTACCACATCTTTGACTTTGTGTGATCTAATTTAAGCCAGTGCATCCACAAAAATAAGCAAATAAAGTCCACTGTACATGTGGTTGGTAAAACATTTAGAAGACCAATGCACAAATCTCAGTTTCCGCTGCATATTAAACTGCAGAGCTCAACATGCTGACTTGCTGTTGTCATTCTTTATGATGCATCCTGCACTCTGGAGGGGAATACCACTGAATTTAACTGTAAAGTTACATATGTCAGTGTGCAGTGTACTTTACAAGGATGAGTTATAAACATCTTTTATAACTAGGGACAAAAGAAAATATCACACTGACACACAGCTCTACGGAGACTTAGAGACTATAGAATGGCAGACAAAATGTCATTCATCACATTAGACACATCCGTTTATGAATGCTGACATCTTCCCAAATGTCTTCATATGTGCAAAATGTGATCTATAGTACTTAATCAGAAATCTGATATTTTCACCGATAATTTTGCCAGTTTACAGTGAAGTGCAAAGGCACAGGAGCAGAATTTCACCTTATAAAATGTCTAATGATGTACAGTTTACTACAGTCTCCAATTCACTGTCTGGGGAGCACCTGTGTGTTATTATGATATCACATTTCTTTAGTCTCAGGTCTCCTGTGATTAGCTCTTAAATCAAGTGCTATTCCCCTGTACACATTAACAATGCAAGGGCTACTGTTTAAAGACCTAGAGAATAGGCAGCTAGCCACCAAACACTGGTTCATAGATTATCTGCCATTCACTGAATCAAATAAAACAAACAAAAATTGATGCACTAAATGACATACTTTCCCCTCCTGGGTGTTTCTGTGTTTCTGAAAAGACAATACAGTTACACAAAAATTATTGTAGTTGAACATATAAACATAAAGGAATGGAATCACTTTTTGTAGGTCTGTATTTGAAGTATATATATGTGTGTGTGTGTGTGTGTGTGTGTGTGTGTGTGTGGATGTGTGTCAACGTGTGTTTGTGCATGTACTTGAAATTCAACACTGTGTTAAAATGAAAAACACACACCAAACATTAAATATTCTTGTAAAATAAAGAACAAAAACAAAAAGGAGGGTGTAGCTCTGCTTGTGTGTTTGCAGAGTGAAAAATAGACAAAAAGTTAGAGAGAAGCTATAAATAAACAGGAGAAATCAAAAACACAACTTGACCTACCTGACTGACTGACCTGCTACCTAATAAAGTGGGAATATCTAGCAGTAGTAAAAGTAATCCAGAGTTGCATATCTATTGGATACTGACTGCTACTGTGAATATTTAATGGCTGTTGAGAGGTTAGCAACGTGTGATGTGCAAATGAAGTCTCTGGTCTATCAATCTAAAATTCACAGTAGGACACTACACAGAATGTGAGCATTAGATCAGAGGGAGACAGGTACTTTTAAAACTTACTCGCTAGTTCAAAAACGTCTGGTTCCTCCCTGGCCAGTTTCTCCCTGGCCACATCTGCTATCGGCCCAAAGATAACCACAGGTCTTAAGAACCCAGCTGCACAAGAAGAAGACCATGTCATGGAGATTAGCATTATGTAACACTTAGAAAGACAACATTTCCTTAAATTCCACATATAATGCACGCACACACAATCAGTAAATATCTATGATCTGCTCCATTGGTCAGTTAGCTCGACTTCACAAGTGTCACAGACAACCTTGTGTTTCTTTATCTATAGGAATTGAAATATGAGAATCCCTTCAGTTGACTGCTGTAACTGTCTTGGCCTCTGTAGCCTTACCTTCCCTCAGCACCACCCTCTCATATGCAGGGAACTTGGTCTGAACTGGCTGGGCTGACACGTCCTCCCTGCTCTTACGCAAATTCCTCTTGGAGCTTCGCAACCCTCGGAATCTCCAGAAGTCAGCTCTATCTCCCCCTGGTGTTTTGGGGAGGGTGTACTGCACGCTAGACAGCTGCTCAGCCCTGGACAGTGAACAGGAGGAGTAAATTCAACTATAAGGGCCTCAGGCCTAAATTTAGGTTGATTGAAATGTTGTCATGAGGGTTTGAGCTTAATAGTAATAGAAATATTTTATAACTCAGTGATTTTTCAGCAAACTAAAGCTGTATCTCTTGTTAACATAACAGCATAGTGACTACAAACAAATTATTTTAAACATCAATTATTTTCTCGAAATACTGCGACAGGTTACTGTGATAAGCATTTCACTGAGGCTCCAGCACACAGTACAAACAGTAGTGCAGCATACAGTAAAATTTTGCTGTGAAATAACAAGCCTTATTTGTAAAACACTGACACACTTTCCACCATTAAAGCTTTGCATATCATGCATTTATAATAAAGGCCATTGTGTCCGTTACCTGAAATCACTGCATGTCAACACATTTTTACACGGAATGTGACTGGAAAACAAACGGGGCTAAGATGAGTGAGGCTTTGGGCCGATAGGGTAAGAACTCACTCCTGGTGGATTTGATTAATAGTGGTCTTCCTTTGATGTGTTTTTAAAAATATTAGTCTGAAGTCTGAAGGCAATTTCATGGTTTTATATTTGGAAAGAATATCAAGGGAGGATGGTTTAACTTGGCCGAGGAGCTGACATCTATCTCACAATGTTTAATGTAAAAATGCTGTGTCCTGCAGGACAGTGAGGAGTCTGTTTTAACACTACTGGAGGCTGTAAAAACAGGCCTGGATAAAACAGTGCTATAGGCTAGATTATGCTGCACAGTATACTACATATCCTCAGGCACACAGTCTTCAAAAAGCCCCCACACACTTAATCCCTCTGAACCACTGACCTGACACATGAGATGTTTTAAAAAAATGCCATAAAGTACTTTAAAAAAAAAAAAAAAAACAACTTCAATTTAAAACAGGCTTGGGTAGTGAAAATTCCACTTTAACAATAGTACAAAACAAATAATTAAAAATAAAATCATGATAAGTATATAGTAGATTAAACAAATGGAAAGGACCTGTGGCGAAAACGTTCTGTACCTCTCTCTAATCAACCACAATGCTTCTGTTACTTGTCTCCACCCTTACCCATTCAGGAAATTCCACAACAAGCTATACAGGTATTAAAGGTGTGACGTGAAACTTCTTTCACCTGTTCTTATTGGGGATGATGCCCCTTTCTACTTCCTGATGATTCTTGCCAATTCGGATGGCGAGCCAGGAGCCTAATTTGCCGTTGTAGAGCGTGTCGACTACACGGAACACCTCGCCCTTGTTGAAGCTCAGCCCATACGGTGACTCTTTTTCATATTCAAAATGTGTCCGAATGTAAAAGGAATCGCCCACATCCGATTCCACTATTCTCCGGTACACTGAAGAAAAGCAGAAAATACAACAACCCATAACATGTGCTGGTCTTGATGCCTGATGTGTTTACACTACTAACATAGGACTTTACACTGCCATCACTCACCATCCTTTTTCTTCTGAGCCAGAATAGTAACATCTTCTCCTCTTGGGAGATCCAGCAAAAAGAGCACAGCCTCCTCCCGGATGATGTTAGCAAAGTCCACATTGTTCACCTACAGATGCCAAACAGAAGAGTTTGGGAGAAAAAAATATTAACTTGTAGTACAAATGAAAGACTAGTGTTTTTCAACTTTAAATTTTTTTTTCTTCAACAAAACAAAAACTCAAGCAGCTATCATTCATCTCTTTTCTTACAGAATAATAGGAACAGTGGAAAAAGAAAAACTTGCTCCCTAACAGAATAAGAGTGATGCATTCCCCCTACAACCCTGCAGCCTCCTCCTCTGATCCCAAAGACAATAACTGCTGTTTATTGACTCTGCTCGAGGGGCGGCAGGGAAAGCAGAAACACATGGACTGAGTCGCTGAACCTCAGAAAAACACCTTTATCCTTCCCAGAAACCAGAGGGCTTGTTATCTTTATCACCGCTAGCAAACCATGACCAAAGGGAAACCACCTAAGGATGTCAAACAACGCCCTGGAAGTCTGTAAGATCTGTTTGTACAGTGGAAAGGACACGCAGGCACAAAATCAGATCTGCACTAGGGAACATAAGAAACTGTGTATTCTTTAAGAGAAACAGATAAGCCATAGGCAATTTTGTTTATCAGATAAATGCAGTTTGTAAATGTTAATGTCATGGGAAAAAACATGTGGTCAACCTCTGCTGTATAGTACCAGCTGAACTACAGAGCTCCAGAGTTACAGCAAGCATTGCCTGTTGTATAAACATGTCAGAATGGATCCAACACTGACATCAAGAGGGTTTTCATCATCCCATCAACAATGTTACTCTACTATTCAGTGAAACAGTCAGTCAACTGTCCCAGGGTCACACTGCACGAATGACCGCTATTGTGTCTTCACATTGGAAACAAGAGGAGTTTTGACACGAGGCAGAGCCCGGGAATGACTCACAGACTGAGTGATACATTGTATTGTATTCTCAAGATCTCTTTACACAAAAGTAAAACTATTGTGGACATGGGACCACATAGTTAATTATCTAAGTTAGGGTGGGCAGCTATGGCTCATCTATGTTGACAATAACACCAGATGTTCTTCCCACTATTATAGTGTGACATGGAAAAAAATGGTAATGGTTAATTCTCTAAAAACAATAGCACAGAAATCATCTCACAAGTTACATAATCCTAGGACAGCACGCAGCCATGACAAGGTACTGGAATTAAAAAATATACTTTAGCCACAGTCAGTCTTTGTATCTGCATGTGAATTGCACAAGTAAATGGGAGAACATATGTAGACAGCCCCGGTTACTGTAAAACCTGCAAATAACATGCAGCAAAATTCTCCCCTACTGCTGTGCTTTTTTCCCCCCATCCAAAACCAGCATATTTGATATATGACTGACTGCATAGAGAAAGAAGAGCACTAGGTGCACGAGAGGACGGTTGTTACCGAACTTTATAAACAGTCCACTTCAGTTTAGCCAGACTTTGGGCTGAATTATTTTATCCTTTTAATCCAGGAAACTACTGCATCTACTATAGGTGCTGTCTTTAAAGTAGTACATGAACCCATACAAAAACTGGTGAGGCATGAACAGTACATAGCCAACAAATTAAGTTTCTCCAGTTAAAAACTCTGATTCTCTTTATCACTCAGTACCATTTCAAAAACCACGTTTTGATGAAGCTACTGCAGAAAGAAAGTAGCAAACATGATGCTTAAGTGATGAAGTGGAGCATACCCTGAGAATCTGGTCTCCCTCCTCCAGGCCCTCCTTGGCTGCAGGACTGTCTTCTAAAACACCTGCCACAAAAATTCCCACATCGTTCCCTCCAGCTAACCGCAGACCGACACTCTCTCCCTTCTTGAACTTAACCAGCTTCATACTCGGCCTGTAGGAGAACAAAGGTAGATAGAATTAAGTAAAAATGTCAGCAAATCATGATTTAAAAACAATCACTCTAGGAGTCACAAAACACAACCCGCTTTTCCAGCAAGCAGAGTGTGGTTCAACAATAAAGCTATAACAAAATCCTGCAGTCTCTGATGTAATTGGAACTAAATTTCAGGCATCTTGGGCATTTACCTGAGAATACTGTCATCATGAGCGGCGCTGGGTACAGGGGCATCAGAAGGGCTGACAGGTAGGTCCACATCAGGCTGACCAGGTTGTGCATACACTGGCTTTGGTTCTACCACAAATACAAACAGTAAGTAGAAAAACATGAGTCAATTAAACTACAGCAGCATGCTAAGCCTTAATTAACATCTCTTTACTTCCCTGTACTATGAAAATAAGAAACATAAAATATGGTGAAAGATGAGATGGACATTAGAGACCACACTTATCCCTAATGATGGTGGATGAAGGTTCAGTACCAGGAAGTGGAGGTAACAGTTTGTCATCTCTGGAGCTGCTCTGGTCACTGGCCTGTGACAAGACGGCATCAGAGCTTTTGACTGGTGTAGATATGGTCCCCGGTTTGGATACGCGATCGTCATCTCGACTTCGAAGGCTGCAATAAACACAAAAAGATATGGCAATTCAGTATCGGTGGAATGTCAGTTTGTTTACATTAGTGGGTGCCTTAAATGACTGTGGCATCATTGCTGGCTTCAGTGTGTTTAAGAAATGACCTCATATGTTCTGTATAATATGTACAGTAGTTTTGTTGTATTGCTGACATCACCAGAAAGAGACAGACACTAAAATGAACCATGGGTTATGTGATAAAAGCACATGGAAAGAAAACTGGATAAGAAGATAATAAGCAATTAAAAGCAGGATGTGTGGTCCCATCAAATTCACCAGATTCATCCCCCATTTTTAAGTTGCCTGTTCTTTTCACTTGTATTTTGTTGAAGCAGAAGGGACTTAAATGTTTCTTAAAGATAAATATAAATTCATATTATACTGACCATACAATAAACCTTTCTAATAAAAGCACACATACAGAAAGAAAAATAAGACCAAGTCTCCCAACATAAACTCTTTTCAGCCATAGCTCCTGTTTGCCCTGGATAAAATGAACAAGGTAAAACTATGTGTGCGGGAGAGAGAAAGTCTAGCGGGCTATGTCTAAATGAGTAGAAAAGCCTCTGCTGCTTAAAACAATGGTTGAATTCCAAACTGATTACATGACAGACTACTGGCACAGTACTTCAAGCTTTTGTAGAAGAATGTGAAGGTGCAGCCTGGGCCACTAGCTCAACCTAGGAAAATTCTCCCATGCACATTCACTCCACTCCTTTTGCTCTGGCATTTGTCATGGGAAAATCTACATTTCAGACAGTAGATCTAGACAAAGACAGTACATCTAATTGCACTCATGTTTAAACCTGTTAGTTTTGCAGCTGCTGGACCCATTTACAGTATTTTCCACCACAGAATACCATTTTTAGATCCCTGAATTTGTCTCTATGTTCTCACTGCAATTCATTTTACACATAAACCTCATATGTGCATATTTATTTGTCAACTGCGTCAGTATCAGAAAGAACAATACTTCCAGGTTGCAAGGGAGAGCAGACGTTTACTGCACCTCTTGTCTGTTCTACGATTTTTCACATCTTCTACATTTTCAAGTCTTTGAACAAATTCTACAACTATTAAAATGCCTCCAAGAGGGAAAAGAGCTAATAAATCAGAAGCGAACGAGGATGTTGAAGCAGAAGAGGATTATATTTCAGCGGC